CAGACATGCCTAGAGGTTTGTCTCCTAGCTGATTTCTAGATCTTGCCAAGTTGATAATTGATATTAACTACCAATCTCACTAGGTGACTGATAAAAACAGGAATATATTTCTCGTGGCTCTGGAGGCTGAGCATCTAATTGATCACAAATGGCAACTCCTTGGGGTAGCTTCCTAGGGCAAAAGCAGACAAGCCCCCATGGACCTCCTCTGTGAAAACAGCAGTCCCACCTAGGAGGGCTCTACCCTCTTATCACCAGTCCCGTCTCAGTAGATGGTGGAGCAAAGCAGCTTTAGGAATGCCAAGTTCAAAGCAACCAGGAACACAGAACTCCACTTGCCTGGAGTGGGGGATGTTTAAAGCCTAAAGTGTCATACCCACCTCTCACCACTAGACTAAACAGCCATTACTTTGTCCTCTCTGAGCCTAAGCTTCCTCCCTGTAGAGGACAATGCACTCTCTCCAGATGTTGTTAAGTGGTAAGAGGAAACGAACCAAGCAAAATGTCTCACTCAATAACTGCAACTAAAACATTCAGTAAATGATGACAATGGTAAGCAGAAGCAGATCTCTAGCCCTCAGGGTGGCAGCTTGCTTACCAGTAAAAGAGATAAAAGTTAGTGGTAACATGGGGATGAGGGGGAAAGACCTAGCCAGACACCTCTTTGCCTATGAGTACTGAAGAAAGTAGCTTAACGATCACTGTCAGAGAGATCTAATTCCCTTTATTCCACATAACACAACCATAAAATACCCATGTCCATGGTTTAAAACCTCATGAAATATTATTCTCTTTGTCTTTTAACTTCCAGGGTATTATTGCATTATACTCCAATTTTACAACTGTTCTCCCAAATACTCATTTCCTTCCTTTAATATTTTATTCAAATTTTAACTCAAAATTATTCTTCTGCAAAGAATTTATTATGCAGAGGTGTATGGCACATCTGCTTTTCATACTTGAGGAGGAAGAGGGCAGTGAGAGTTACAGAAAGTATTATATAAAAAGCATTCAAAAACAAACAAAAAAAAGTAAGCCAGGTGGTGGTGGTACACACCTTTAAGGCAGATGGATCTCTGTGAGTTCGAGGCCAGCCTGGTCTACAAAGCTACACAGCGAAACCCTGTCCCCTGTCTCAAAACAAAAACAAAAACAAACAAACAAAAAAAAAGGCATTCCTTCCACACCGGCAAGCTTGCAAAGATTATGTTTTCCCCTGACTATGAAATATTTCATTAGCTAAAACAGAATCCAATTTTTCAAAATATATATAACTATCTAGAGCCAACCAACCAATATCAACATTTATTTGTGTAAAACATCTTAGATTTCTGAGTCAATGCATTTATTGAATATCTAAGACCCCTGCTCTCAGACTGTTCTTAGTCTACTGTAGAGAAAAGACCCAAAATGAGACTACATAGGTGAGGTCCGGACCACCTATAATTCCAGTTCCAGGAACCCTCTGGCCTCCATGGGTGCTGGCATGCACCTGGTAAACATAAAGTCGAATAGGCACACACACACATACACAGAGGTAAAATAAATAAATTTCTCAGGTACGACCAGATAGCCTCAGTCTACTGCCAACACTGATGACCTACATTTGACCCCAGAGAGAACAGACTTCTAAAGTTTTCCTCTGTCCTCCTTATGCTCAAGGTGGTATGCATGCCCACACATACACACATAAACAAATGTAATAAAACAAATTTCAAGTGCAAATAAAATAAAGTGTTTCATTTATTTTCTGTAAGTGCTATATCATTTTATATGCCTATAAGCAGGTTATGTACAACTTGTGTTAGGCAAAAGAGGATGACAAGTGGAAAATGTACTAAAAGCCCTGATCTGGACGTCCCTAATGGACTTTTAGAGATGCTCCAAGCTTGTCAGGCTCAACCTGATTTCCCCACTCTTACTGTTGGGAGATACACTCCTACGAGAGCTGCAAAGAATAGACAGGATTACAGGAACCCACACTGCCCCCTCCGAAAAATTCATCCAGAAAGTTGGATAAATCAACTAGCTGGCTTAGGAACCATGCTGAAGGAATGCTGTTCTACAGCAGATCAGCTTCATTCTCCAGAGACTTTCAAGGTCAAGGGCAGGAGAAAAGAAATCTGGGCCATGCAAATTTCATTGTCATCTAAGTTCAATGGGATGGTGGCTAGGAAGGAGCACTCAAGCTTTGCTGTCTTGAGTCGAGCTCTCTAGTCTTCATTGAAGACAATGTTGATTATGTTTTAATCACCTCCTAAAGTGTGTCTGTTGGCATGGAGGCAAAGGAAATGAAGCATTTTTTAACAACTGATTCACATGAAGTAGAGTTGTTTGACAACATACGAAGCACTGTACTCTGACTGATGTCAGTAACTTCAGAAAGCTGCCTGGTTCAGCAGGATAAATCTCAACATTTGAGCACATACACGTGCGTGTGTATGTGTGGGGACATGCATGTGTATGACTATGTGCATGCATGTGGTAGACGGAGGTTGATGCTGGACCTATCCTCAATCACGCTTTCACCTTAACTAAAGTGTATGTGTGGAAGTGGGGGGGGGGTCTCTCCATTAAACCCAGCGCTTACTGATACAGCTAGTCTCAGTAGTCAGCTGGCTCTAGGGATCCCCTGACTCTGTCTCACAAAGTTAGAATTACAGGCAAGCCTCCACATCCACCAGCATTTATGTGGGTTCTAGGGATGCAAATTCTGTCCCCCACACTTGCATAAAAAACACTGTTTAAAGAAAAAAAAAGGAGATGGTTCAATAATAAGACAAGTTGCTATTCAGACCAAACTGGCCTTAAATATTTGATGACTCTCCAGCAGCCTATACTTCCAGAGTTCTGAGATCACAGGTATGTTGCTCAACTGAAAAATTCAATTATTGCAGAAAGATCCTCTATTAGACAATTTTTTACTATAACCAAAAAAGTTAAATTTTCATCTTTTACAGTCACTTTATATTATGAAAACTGCTTGAACCAAGTCAACAAAGGCAAAGAAACCATTTGTTGTACCATTATTTACAATGTGGTGTAACTGTTTAGACTGTATGTGTCGTTAGGGTTTGCCCAAATCTATATTCTCCAGATATCAGTAAGTGAAGACTTCAAGAAAATTTCCTAACCACCTATTTGTACATGGAGTCACTCAGAAGGCCACCCATGCTATAGGACTCAACACATAACATGTGTTTTTATATTAATCCAGAAAATGCTCTCATCTCTCTGATGACAACAGTCATCTTTGAAGTAGTTTAATTTTACTTAACAATATCTTGTCAAAATAACTTCAGAGAAGGACAGTAAAATTATTAACCCTCTGGAGGTAGAGTAGGTACATCACCTAAGCACCTGAGAGTGGCAAGTACTTACTCAACAGGAAGTGTTGAGCCTTTCACTGAGTTGCTACTCTGACATAGGGGTCATACAGAACACTGGTCTCAGGATCAGTTTTCTGAAAACTGAGACCTGGTCTACATGGTGAGTTCCACAACAGTTAGAGCTACATAGTAAGACCTTGTCTCAAAAAAAAAAAAAAAAGCAATGCAGTCCTCTCAATGATGTTATCTTCATTTTACTGACATACCTAAAGATTTCTTGCCCTTTTCTTTTAGCCTTTAAAACCAAAACTCACCACTAGGCAATGTGTAAGGTAGCCCCCTCCTACAACTAACTTACACACAAGAAGACAACTTAATTTTAATTGGGTTGTCATGTCACTAGAGCAAGGGTACCATTTGATAAAAGCAACAGAGACACTTTGAGGACTCCTCAGAATTTTTTTTTTACCTTATTTTTTTTTTACCTTTTTTTTTTTTGTAGAGGTGAACTATAAAAGAAAATGCATAAACTGAGGCCTATTAGAAATTAGTAATGCTAGCCTGCACGCTGCTTAGGTTTCCTCATCTGTGAAAGGGAGAAAATGGCTTTAGAACATAAGTTCATGCTGAAATAAGAAAATCACCTAGTTCAGGGATCAGTTCTCCCCACCTCTTGTTGCTATGTCTACATGGCATGCCCTATTTGCATTAAGAAAAATGCCTGAGAGTAACTACATGTAAACATTCGGTCCCTACACACTGGGGGACCTGCCTGATCTTTCTGGGTGCTGTTTAGAATCAAAACTCAGGTTCATAACTACAGCCACCCCTCTCTTCCTGAAAGCAAATAAGAGTAAATATTTCAAGAACTCAAGAATGACCCAACATATTGACAACCAGTCCTTCTGAGTGATGCATGTTTGGTGTGCCAGGATTACCCATTTCTAATAGGCCTCTGCTGTTGATCCCCTAGACCCTAGTCACTCTCTTCAGGAAGAAGGCAAGAGAGATTCACCTTGATTCACTTCATTGCCGACCAAATGTGAAAATCCTTTAAGTATGGCTAGTTTTCCATTGAAGTCACCTGAGGAACTTTCAAAACTCTTAAACTCCCAAGATGTATCCCAAACCAAGCACATCGTAATATCTAAGGGGTGGAACCAGGCCTATTTTTAAAAAGTCCCCAGTATGGTACAAGATGAAGCCTAGGTTGAGACCCGCTATGTTGGATAGCCCCTCTTGATTTCAAATGACTTCTGCCACAAGCGAAACCAGAAAAGCCAACCTAGAGCATGTCAGAACCACAGCTGTGCACAGAAGGTACAGAGGGATCCCGAACAGGGAGACTACAAGTGCTGCACTGGGCTCCGCCAAGGGTGGAGGACCATGCTTTCAAATAGTTTGCCCTTCCAGCAAAAATAAGTTGGCTAATTTTGGAGGTGCCATTGTCTGTATTTGCCTCTACTCATTCGCATTTTCTTCCTTTTCAAAAGGCAAGTCTCTTTGGAAGGAGAGAGATGTGTGCACCCCAACCCAACACAAACTACAGAGGAGCAAACAATCTCCGTGGCTGCCTAGAAAGCACCAGGCAGGCTGCGGG